TAAAATTGAATTTTTCCCTTGTTTTCTTTTTTCAGTTTTTTTAACTGGATAGTTTCGTAAGAAAATTTTTGAAACCTTAAACCTTTTTTTATAGAATTTTTCCCAATTAAGCACTTTACTTTAAGGTACAGAAGATGTAGCACAAAAACGATTCCTAAGTGAAGATTTTAACGACCATATTTTTCACTCTTTTTGATTTTTATTGATTTTAAGCGCTCTAATTATCAATTATCATTAATTTTTGGTGACAATAGTCACTCAACAGCTGACATTTTTAATAGCAGTTATTTTAATAAAAAACTAGAATTTCAATGTTTTTATTGAAGTGTAACAAATAATACCAAAATTGAAACGAAATTTTATACAAACTTTTAATTTGAAAAACAAAAATTGATTTGAAAATATTTGAATTTTTTAAAAAGAAAAACTACAATTTTTTAATTAGGAAAAATAAAAAAAAATCTAGTAATCAAAAAAATTTTTTCGAAACTTTTCTTGGTAAAAAAAATGGTAAGTTTTTAATTTTTGCCAATTTTTGTAAGAAATGGTACCTATATGGTTTGAGATTTTTAAATGCATTTTACTCGAATTGGATGCAATTTAAAAATTTTAAAAAATAATTTTCGGAATCTAGACACCATTTGGCATCTAAAGTTATCAAAATTATCCAGCTGGAGCGAATTTTTTAAGACATGCCATACAAAATTTTGACATTTATTTTAAAAGAAAAATTTTTTTCACAAAATGGAGTTTGTAAATGATATGGTACGAGTATTAACATTATGAAACTGGTTAATAATTAAAAAAATAATTTAATGGGATTAATCAATTTCAAACATATTTCTACAAAAACTAAAATGCCACTACAGAAGTGTTCCACTAAAGCAATTAATTTAAAATATGCGATTGGATAGAAATAGATTTGAAAGAAGAAAGACATAATTTTTTCCAGAATTAGATGAATTTCCTAGGAGAATGCAGTGTTTGTTTTGAGAAATTTGTAAATTTTTTGATAAGGAATTCTTGTTGTTCCAAATTTTTTGATGTAAGGAAAAGGTATTAAATTTTAATTGGAATTGTGGCTCACAATATTTTTGGTTGTTGTGCTATATCTTCTGTACCATAAATAATTTTTTGATTAATGTTTGAGGACTTAAATTAAAGCTTAAGCAGCTGGGAAAAATTCTATAAAAAACTGAAAAAGTGAAACGAGGGAAAAGTTTGATTTTCACCAAAGTTCAAATGCTTGGTATTCCGAAAGTACATAAAATATACAATCATCCAGCATATGTCTATTTTAAGCCCTTTAGTAGTTCTTTCAGGACCTGTTTGTTTGAAGTTCCTATCCTTTTCAGAATGGAAGTTGATTCCAAAAACTTGGATAAGTAAAAATTTCGTGAAAATTTGTTAAAATCCATTTCCGATCTTCTACCCAATGGTATATGTTGTTGTATAACTTTCTGAATCACCCCGTCTTTTACCTAGTTTAGTGAAAGTGCTACAGAAGATTATGAAAATGCATTTTGAACACTTTCATTCAATTTTAAGGAAGTTAGCATGCTTCTAGTTAACACACCTAGAAAAGTATAAATTTGGCTGTTAGTAGAATTTCGTTTTGTCCCACCCGAATTCCCTGAAAAGTTCACCAGTTAGTTTTGGTAACAATCATAACTTAGTATATCAATTTCAAGAATTTCCACCATTACCGTCCCTCAATTGTAAAAAATATAAAATCGGCTCCCAGTTCGGTTTCTGATCCCTGATCTTTCGAAGAAATTTATGGAATCATTGTTTTAACACCACAAATTTAAATATTAAATTTCACGGAAATTGTTTGACTATTTCTCTTTAAACACGTAAAAATGTAAAATTGGCTCGCAAAAAGGACAAATTGCATTTTCGTTATTATATACTTCTTTAAAAATTATAAATTGTGACATATAACATTTTTATTTTAAGCACATAACATATAAACTATTTATGTACGAATAAGTAGCTGCATCTATGGATAAAATTGTCGCACAAATTAAATAAAAGAGGTTGAATTCCTGAAGGTTATAATAAATGTTGGAATACATTAAAATATCACTATGATAATATTATGCTTTGTTACATAAAAATTCTCTCATCTTTCGCTTATATCCTCAACACTGTTATACCAGTTTATACAACATATAGGTACCAATAATAACAATATAAAGGATAAAAATGTCTCCTATGGGAAATTTTTTCGTATATTTTAAAAATAAATTTTAATTTTATATTTTGGGAATTTTTATGTATAGTCGCAAAGTAAATTCCTCTAAATTTTCATAAAATATAAATTTTTAAATATTATTTCAATTAGATAAGTATAGAGATTTTTAAAATTTGAATATTTTAATAATAAAAATAAATTATACATACTTACATGTATATTTATAATTCTAGCGAAATTAAATGGAAAATAAGTATTATAAAACGGACTACAGACAAAACAGAGGGACAAAGTGAACAAAACGTTTCCATATTCAACATTTTTATCAATTCCATGTAGCCATATGTATACTTAGCTGGTTCTAAAGAATGAATCTGATTAAAATCGTAATGTATTAAAAAAATGTTTTTGAGAAACCAAAGAGATGGAAGCGTAAATTTAAAAAATTAAAAGTGCTTTGAATTTTAATATAATTAAAATATGTCGAATACGAATGAATGACTGAATGTGTATACATACATGCATATGAATATATGATAGAATAAACAAAACTTCATATGAATATGAAAATGCTTTTCAATAAAATGTTAAAGATAGTGTTTAGAGAACTAAAAAAAATGTTATCCAAATTCTTCAAAATCATATTGTTGTGTTAATATTATTTTGTATTAACATAAGGCAATTTTGTATATGTACTCGTATACTAACACAGAAAAATCAGTAATTTAAATTTTTCGAAATAATTTAAAAATTTTCTTTAATTTCACAAGTACATTAGAATAAATCATTATAGAGGCTACATAAAAATAAGACGAGAGTAAAAATTGTGTCCAATTTGGTGTGAACATTTGTAAAAAATTGCAATATTCGAAAATAATATTTGAAATTTGTGAATTCTAATTCTAATTTCAAGAGTTCTTATTCTATAAGAGAGAATTCTAGTATTGACTATATTGACATCTCGAAGTTTGTTAATGGATGATCGTGCATTGTTAATACATTGCATGTGCATTAACAAATACACATGTTTAATGCACGATCATTACAATTATGGCCTCATATATAGGGTTAAGGGGTCTGTTAAGTGATTATTCCGAAAAATATCCATTGTAGAATTTAAAATAATTAATTCTTTCATTTTTGGAATTCTTGTTGTAACACATAGCGCTAAATTATGCTTTCGTATGCAATTCAATAAATTTTAAAGAAAATGGGGAAAATGGAAGTCAAATCTATCCTCTAAAAGAATCTAATCCTATATTTTGTTTTATTCCTTATTCCACAATTTTCATTCCTTTAATTTTAAAAAAACTGGCACAGAAATAAATTATATAATTTTAGTTATGAAAGAAAAAGAATTTTCATACACAGAAAGTTCAAAGGATATTTTCCAAATTAGAAAATTAAATAGTTATTTTTTTTATTTTTTGTGGAATTTGTGTAATTTCATCTTTTTTTCTGTTAGTCCAATGTAAATATAAAATTCCTAGAAAAGAATTCTAGGTTTAAATTTTATAAATTAATATTATTATTATTTTTTTTTTGGTGAATAACTCTTATGGTATAACAAAAAAAAGGAACAAAATTCACAAGCTGTCCTTCTCAGTTTTTTTTTTTTGTTGTATTTCTCTCCTCGTTTTTGGTCCTTTTTGAAATAAACGGAAAATAAATTGTATTTTTTATCAAAGAAAAATTTAATTTACGTTATATATAAAATAGTTGTATATATATATATATGTATAAAATTCTATATTTAAGGTTTATTATGCAACCAGTTGTTATTTTTTCTTCAATTTTCTGAGGAATTCATGCAAGAATTAAAATAGGAAAAGAATATCCGAAGGTAAAAAAAAAATATAATTGAAATTCAAATGAAAAAAATACATACATAGCTAGCTAGAGACCTACAACAAAGAGCTTATGAGAGCGTAATAATTCAATAGTTGAAATAATTAATGAATTCTGGGAACGTTATCTTTTTCAAACTTTAATAATAAAAACTACGATAAAATTTTGAAAAAGAAAAAATTAATATTTTATATAAAACACATACATATATATGCACTTTTATCTATGAGTTGTAAAAGTTTGAAATCTATATTGTATAGAAACTATATTAAAGTGCTATTCTTATATTGTAGATTTTCAAAAGAAAATGTGAAATAACTGTAACGCGGTTGAGCAAAAGAAAACATTTTAATAATTTTCTTTCATAACTAAAATAATTCATTATAATTCTTTAGTTTTTGTGCGGTGAGCCAAAGTATATTTTAATGAAAATTTTCTAAATATTTTTGCAAAAAAAACAAAAGCTGTCAAAAAGAACAGATAAAGTACCACTTAGCGGTGAAAGGAAGAATATCTATTTACTCATATATATATATATAGCTTTTAATATATGTAAGGAGATTTTCAAAATGGAATTTTAATGAAATAATAAAGTTTTAATGCAATAATAATTGGGTTTCAGTAGAAATTATTATTGGAAATATATGCAGAACACATTTAAGTAAATGTGTAGGTGTTGAAGCATTTTATTTTCATTAATGGTCTTAAAGGTTTTATCACGTACACACATAGTACACATAATTTTGTTAAGCAGAAAATCAATTTCATGTCAAATTTTTTTTTATTATTAGGTCCAAATCTATTTATTTCAGAATAGACATATCACATTAAAATATCTTTGAAATATAAGAAAAGTGAAGTGATTTCAAATATTCTAATAGTCTATAGTTATTTAAAATTAATATTTGTGTAAATCATATTAGCTATAACAATGCAGAATAAAATTTAAAATTACCTTAGCTCTCGTCTTGAACTAACATCACCGAAATCACCTTTATCATTACCAATTCTTTGATAATAATATTTTGCATAGTCATCCATCCAAACTTCAGCCAATCTTACTGAATTTCTTTTCAAAACATTAACCCCACTCCGCCACTAAATTCGAAAAACAAAATCGAAAAATGAAAAAGTAAAAAATAAGAATTATTATGCTTAGATTTTCTAAAATTAAATTAAATTATTTGAAATTTAATTGATTAAAAATTATTTTTAATAAAAATTTATTAAAAAAGAAAAAAACGTATTTTTCCCCCACAGTGTGATTAATTATTTATAATTTTATAATAAATAAAAAAATATTTTAAATTTTTTCATTTTTTAAAAATACCTTGTATGGTGATCTTTTACGGAATATATGACCAACATGAGAACATGGTACAATTTCTAATGTACCACCGCACATCCATGTTTTAAATGATAATTCAAGGTTTTCGCCACCCCAGATATCAAAACCAGAATCATAAGTACCAAGTAATTCAAAGAATTTTCTATTAATTGAGAAAAGACCGCCAGCCATTGTGGGTGACCATACAGGCTCTGCTGAATTCTATAAAAAAAATTATTTATAAATAAGAATATAATTATTGTATATATATATTTTATAAATAAGTAAGTCTATGTTGAGTAATATAATATTGTGTAAGATAGAGAAAGAAAATTATATTTTCATTTTTACATTAGTTTTCAAATTATATACAGAATAATACGTATAGTAAATTTTCCATTTTTGACGTAAAAGAGATGAAAATGACAAGGGAATTGGGAAATTTATTTATTATATTGTATTTTCATTTTTTTTTGCATAAAATATGGCTGTATGAGTTGTAAAACAAAAAAAAATTATTGTAATATTTTCTTTTATTTAAATTTATTTTCTCTTAGGTTCGGAAAATAAAAAAATAAATTTTAGATTTTAAAATTTTCTTTGGAACTTGTCATTTCATAAATAAAAAAAAATAAGATATGCAATTTTTTAGTTTTGTTTTTGGCATTCTATAATAAATTTTAATACCACAAAAAAAAATGAAAGAAATTAATGAGAATAAGGAAAAGTTCAACAAAATTATGAATTTTAATAAAAATATTTCATTAAAAATTATTCTGATACGAACTTCTAGAATAATGCAACTCGTGAAGGACATAAATTTTTTTTATAAAGAAAATATTACGAGCAAAAGTTTTGACATTTACCGTTTTATATTTTATCCAACTACGTGCAGGTAGTTCATATATGGTTTTATTTCTCATTTATCCTATATAAGAGTATTTTTTTGAAAGAGCAGCTCTTAAAGTCAGAACTGTACATAGTTTTAAAAGTTCTACAATTAATTTGCAGATAAAGCTTTAGAAGATTTGTAGTTTAAAATTCAACAACTACATTTTAGATCCGCGTTATAAGTTATTTAACCTAATTCAAGAGCCCAAATTTTATTTTCCATTTGTATTTGAGGAACGTAATGAGTATGCTAAAGAAGCGGCCACTATAACTAATTAAATTATTTTTCAAATGTATACAATTATTTGTTAAATTTTCATATTTCACATATTTTCATTTATAATTGACATGAAAACTCAGGGAATGTGGTTTCATATTTAATTAACCAATAAACCCACTTCGAAAGGCAATCATTTTTATTTAACAGAAATACTGGTGTTAGAAATGGTGTCTGAGTTTATGCATATAACGCACGTATTATTCTTTAAATAATGAATAATTGCAAATATACACACATAACGTAAAATTTTCAAAAGTATAATGGTTTACCAAAAGAGGATCCAATCTATTGTAAAGTAATTATAATTTGAATAATAGTAGTTTATTCTTCGGGATCATGTGGAAAGTTTAATAATAATCATCAAATGTGGAAAGGTTAATAATCATAAAATAAATGGTTATTTTTAAATTTTTCCCTGTGTATTGCACATATTGCTTATAAAATATTGTAAAGTGATATTTCCATATATGTATTTATTTTAATCAAAAAAAAATCCAAAACCAAATTAATTCGAACACATTTAGTTTCAAGAATTTCATATTACAATAATGAAAATATAGTGCAACAATATCGGCAAATTACTAGGAATTTGGGAGAGGGAAGCTACTGTAGAATCCCGATATTTATTTCTGCTACAGCTTTTTATATAATTAGGATTTCTGCGGTTTATTATTCAAAATGACATTTCGTTTGAATATTTTTAATTTCCAATTATTGAAATTTATATTATATACTACTACTCAAAATATTAGGTCAAATACTCTTATTTTATTACTCTAAAACAAATTCACTTAAAAAATAAAATATTATAGTCACTAAAACCGATTATAAAAATAAATTACATAATATTTATTCAAAAATGCTAAAAACATTGTTTCATATTTCGAAATGATCTCTTGTATTTCTTCCGTTGTTTTTATTGCTATACATATATACAATGTTCAGATTCTAAATGCAAATATATAATCTTGAGAATAATGCATACAATGAAAAATTACAAAAATGGAAGATATATTAATGATAGCAAGTAACAATATATTGTATTCTGTGATACATATCCCTATATGCATGAACGTATAGGGACATGTATCACAGAACAATGAAATGCGGATACAGTAATTTTTCAACAAAGGACGACATAACAGTAAGTCTTTTTTTTTTTCTTTTCTCATTCACAATTACCATATATAAAAATAAATAAGTGGTATATGAAAGTGAAAATTAGACCACAGTGACTTGAATAGATGATGTATGTATATTATTTGTTTAGTCTTCACTTTTAACAGTATCCTAAGTTAACGTATATGTATGTATGCAGTGTATAAAAAAGCAAAAGGCAGGGGTGTTTTATAAATGCAAAAAAAAAGGTTAAATATAATATTATAACAACTAGTTGATTTTTATTTATGGCATATTATGGAACATGATGAATTATTTAATAAAAAAGAAATGATGAATTATTAAATATTTCTTATTATGATCGAAATGTAGGTACTCATTTCATTAACAATAATATTTTGTTACAATGTCAGTCTTGAAAAAAATAATCATATCCCAGTATAAATATTATAAATTAGAGAAGAACTATGAGAACCGAGATAAATTTTGAGAAAGTTAAATTTTATTTTAGTAAACTGATGATTTACGCTGAGTTTTATAATGTCTTTGCTGACAAGATTTTCAAATTCAACTCAGAAATTTTCATCTTAAATCTTATATGTCATTTGGAAAAAATGTTCTGACTCGCTATCTTTTGCGGTCAACTTATACTTTATTTACGTCTTCCTGATTACATCTGTGATGATGGAAGAAATTAATTTTAATTGATAATCTTGATTAATTTGTACTTATACGTATACTAACTTAAATAATCTTGACTCGCGGAAATTTTTTTTAAAAATATTATGCAATAAAATAATTGATTAATTTATTCATGAATTCTTACTGATTAAAATTTATTACGTAACATTTTTTTTTGTTTTTTTAATGGAAAATTAAACATAAAACATATTCTTTATTCGAAAATCATAAAAAATTAAAAACAAAATAACTCTGATTTTTAATTTATTATTGAAAGAATTTTGCGTTTGCTGGGGAAAAATGTTGAATAATTGCTTGAACTCTTAATTGAATCCATCATTGTATTATGTTAAAAAATAAATTGAAAATAAATAATTAATTTGTAATTCTTTTGGAATTTCGTAAAATCGATTATATGCGAGCATATTTTTATTTGTTATTGCTGTTTTTGTCTTTAATATCTTCGAAATCAATAATTGAATTATGTAGAAAATTTTTTGGTTTATTTCTTTAATTTCGAATTAAAAATTAAATGGCTTTCATTTTTTGTATAAGGCGTTTGAAGACTTGTGCATGGACGTTTTAGTTGAATTTTTATTTTTATTAATTATTCATTAATGGAACTCATTAATTTAGAAAATTCTTTAAATTTTACTTTAAATTATTTATACTGATTAATAGTTTTACCAGGGTAATTAATACAAGGCTTTGACAAGAAACATAATTCTTGTTGACTAACAACGTTTTAACGTCTAGGAAATAAATACAATTCAACCCTTCTAAAAATGCGGCTAATATTTTACATACATTTAGGTATATAACACCTTTTGTTAATACTACAGTTAAAGAAAAATCGCAATATTCAAAAGGCTTGCTGGGGATTAAAACCTTAATGTCATAAATATGATCCTGATAACCTAAGAAACACTCTGTATCCGTAAAGCTGAAATTTTTTTGAATACTTTAAATAAAAATTTTGTTAAAAAGCAAAGTAAATTTTATCATTGCAGTGCAACTTTTTTTTTTTCAAATATTTTTTTTTTTTTTGCGAAACTTTTGACAAACAACAATAATGCGGAGTTAAACAGGAAATTCAAAACAAAATTATTATGTTTAACAGGAAATATCGTCATGCATCTTCCTTTCTAACAAATTGTTATGTATATACGTGGGCTATGAAAAACAATCAAATGCACATGAAAAAAAAAACTTATGTGTACATAGCAAAAATAAAAAAAAAAAATTATTTTTAGCGTAGTTTTTTTTTTGTGTTTTTATTTATGAAACTTGCCAGTGTATCGAATTTTTTTCAAACTAAATTTGTTTTTTTTTTTTGTTTTGTGTAAATTAAAATAAATACATGAATAAATGGACAATTTAATTTTAATGTAATATTTAAGGTATGCAGGAAATTTCAATATTTTTCACGAAAAATTAGATTTTCATTAAAACAGAAAGAAGTAAATTGTGTTGCTAGTGTATTTTTTATTAGTTTCCGAAATATTTCTGGTTTACTCATTGATAAAGTCATCGTCAGCGATTCCACTTGGATACAATTGTAATGGTATAGACTAGAGCATTTTGACAAGAACCTACTAGAAACATTTTGGTGTAAGCTAAGTGTAATGGAAAATGCATTGGTAGTACATAATATTTTTTCGTTTTCCATAAAATTTGTCCGTTTTCACAATGATCGTACGTCTTTACCGCATCACATAGTTCAGCATCTACAGGACGTGTATTTTTTAAACTTAACTTTTGCAATTATAATGAAATATAAGTTTGATTTTATTTCTTAAAGAATGTACTATTTTCAATACATTTTTTCTCTAAATTGGATATATTTTGTTTTTAACAAGTGCGAACCGTGCCCGTTGTATTTAAAATATTACAATGTCATGAGGATAAAAATACGCGTACTTTAACAGATGATTGCATTTTCCCATAGTTCCTAAATTCTCGAACTTATTATCTATTTCAATATAATAACATAAAATTGTCGCGTGAATGAAATGGAAAATTATTATACACATATATTTTTAGCTATGCCAGTTACAATTAAATAGAGGAGCAAATAGCTGAGTTCTCCACTTAAACGAATGTGATTGTGCAAGGTGAAAATTTAAAAAATTTTTTGCTTTCAGAATTGTATACATGTTTTACATGACCCTGTTTTACTTACATTATTTAATTTTAATATGATTTAATCAATATATTAAAGTAATAAATAATACTTTTCACAAATACCATA